TCTTATTGAATAACTAATTATTGTTTAACCTTATTTCAATAAAAGGAACTAATTAAATGTTCACTGATTTAACTATTTTTAAAATGATTAAAAATAAATATTTAAAATACTCCAATATTTTTACAACATTTAACAGATTTTATTAATTTTTATTATATATTTTAATATATGAATTTTATAAACAATGTCATTACATATTTTATCATGACATAGAAACATGATGATATAGATAATAAGGCATTTATGTAACTATAATATAATTTAGGTTTATTCATGAGTTATAATATAATTTAGGCTTATTCGTGATACTAAATTAACCCAGATCTGTGCATTGTCACTGTCAATGCACAGATCTCTTTAGTATCTCTTTGAAATCACTAGTTGGAAAAGAAAGTTTTTTAGTTGTTTGTAAATGTTCCTGCAATATCTTTGTTTTTCCAAATGTTCCTCTAATACCAAATACCAAGTTATGATAAAAACTATTCCATTCTCATCTACCAACATTTTATACTAATGAGTATGAACTAGTAGGATCATAAAGGTGACCAGATGGCTGAGCGGTTAGGGCGGCAGCCTACTGCTCTGGAAGACCCAGGATTGAGCCAAGTGGGTCAAAAATTTCCAAGGATTTTAGGGGTGTCCACCTGGATATATTGGGCCCTGTCCACACCATCCAGCTGCTCCACTGTGAGCCTAGCTGAACCATGATGGCTTGCTTAATAATAACTCTCTTAGTACTCAATGGACAGAGTTAAAAAAGAAAAAAGTAGGATTATACACCAATACACCAAATACTCTCTAGTGTCCGTCATGATAAAATGCATCACTTCTAAAATTTACACAATTTATCATTTCTAAAATTACAATATACTTAAAGATGTAGAAAGTTAACTATTATTGATTTGCATAGTTTCAAACAACCAATTATCTCATTGACAGCATAATACACAATGTTAAAGAAACTTGACCTTTCAAATAATTTTTTAAAATTAAATACTAGATTTGTTTGAAATTTTGTATATTTTTACATATTACTTTATATATTAATATTCATTTTTACATTTGACCTTATTTGGCAGAATTGCAAAAATTAAAATCTATTTTGCAATATTCACCTAATATTTTCTCTAAATTTTCAAGTCAAAAATTTATTAATTTAATTTTTTTAATTAAATAAGTTTTATTTAATTAAACTTTAATTTTCTTCAATTATGTTTCTAATTTTCTAATTTAATTAAAAGCAGTGCCACCATCAAAATGATAGATTATAATCAATCGGCATTAAAATTAGAAATACCACAAAAGTATAGAAGACGGTGTTAAAAAGAAATGGATTCATTGTCGTAACATATTTGATTAATTTTACCATATAATTTAATTATATCAGCAGGAATTATATCAAAATAAAAACAAAACTGTTTTATTTACTTTTGTAATTAAGTAGTGAAATCCATGATGAAAACAATATTAAATTTCATATAATAAATCTTTAAAAACTGAAAAACATTTATATTTCACAGAAAATAAAAAAATTCCTTTATTATATATATATATACATTAAAGATTTATTAACATTTGTTACTATTATTAATTGCTATCATTAATATCAGTTTCGAAGTTACTCTACATATTGCGTAACTAATTAATGACAATCACAGTATCAATAGTGATACCTGACTTTGCAAATATCTTAAAATTTATTTTATTAAAATTAGTCTATTGTGACTATAATCTATTAATATGACTTTTTATACTGATCTAACTTGCAGATGAAATTATAGAGATNAGAAACTTGACCTTTCAAATAATTTTTTAAAATTAAATTTGCATTTTTTTTAAACAATTATTATGATTTTTATGCCATTTTTACCTTAATTAATATATTTAAGCATTAATTAATTAATTTTATTCATTTTTTATTTCATGAACTACAAATCTGACTAGAGTTTGGGACTATGTTTTATTGTTATAATAGAACTCCAATTATCTGAGCCACAATAATTTCCTGAGGTTTTGCAACATTCAAGGCAAACATTTATGTGAATACATTAATATTCTTATACTGTAATTCATAAAAGTGTAACTTTTATGAATTACACTTCAACATGAGGTAAATTAATTCACAATAAAATGTAACTACAATAATACACATTAGCTGTATAATAAATGATGTAAAAATTATAATTCTTATATATAATTAAATTCAATAAAGTATAAAAAGAGGTTTAAAAGTGATACCCATAATCTTGATATGCAAGTTTTCTGGTCATTATATCTCATATTCTTAGCTTCAGTTTTGATAAATTTACACTTTGCAGTTAATTATATTCTTCTAAGGTAACAGTGTTGCATTTATTTCATTACACACACACATATACATATGAAGAGTGATTTTTCAATACTAGACTTTATACTCTTTGTGTTCACAATCAGTGAATAGAATATATATATATATATAATTGTGAGATTCCAAGCTATAGTTTTTATATTAATAATAATAAGAATATTTTAATCATTTATTAAAAAAATTGTTAAATGCTTGTTGATGAGGTAAATGTCTACTCGTGGTTCATTGTAAATTCTCTCTCTCTCGGATGATAGACTTTAATTACAGGATAGCTCTGAAATAGACATAGTTTAATAAATGCGCCTTCTTATGTTAGTATGCATTTTTGAATCCTTTTCATAATCATCTCATATAGTTATATTTCTACAACATAACAAAGTAAATATACTTCCATCAATAATGTAGTTTTGTTTTAGAATAATTTTGGTGTTGAATGCATCATTCTGGATTTCCCAGTCTCTCTTACTTCCCTCCTCCATCCGCCCAAATTCATCCATATATGTGACCACTTATCACATGAAAATCACAGAAAAGGTTTCCTGTGTTTTCCCATAAAATATAGGTAGTGTCAGAAGCTGATAGGGAAATCTTCTGAATTTTCACATAATTATGTAGCAAGTCACAACTGTATCAGGTTTGTATATTTTTGTGCAATCCTTATTTTGTAAAAGAATAGAAATAACCCAACAAAAAATGATACATCTGGTGCTTGAACATTGATGTAACTGTTCATTAAACAAATTCTCAGACCTATCAATACTGTCTGAATGATGTGATGAAAACAAATAGTGGCATGATGCTGTTAAACAGGATGTTATCAATATGTATGCAATAAAATAATGTTTGTGTTAAATATTTAATGTTTTTACCATGCATAGTGTTATGTTAAATAAAAACATTATTATTTACATTATAATAAAACATTACAAACTTATTTAATATAACCAGTTTATTATAATTTCTGGATATAATAAAGATTAAATGATTACTTAGAAGAAATGTATGTTATTAAAATAAATGAATATGAACTATATTCAAATCAATGAGAAATAGCACCTGTTGTCTTCAATGGTAGTGTCCTATTTCACCACAATGCTTAATAAAACCATATTTTGTCATTCTCTACTATTCTAGATTTAACACTAAAAAGCATCACTACTAGAATTGAATTGAAGCATGTGGTCTGTGACAGCACACACATTCTTGCTTAGTAATTCTGGAATATTGCTTGAATAAATTGCAGAATAGTAATAATAGTGATAATTTTTGTTTAAAGATATCAGTAGAATAGAGAAACTTAATTTTTTGAAAGGATTTCCTTATAAAACAATTTTATTCCCTCTGACAAGGATTTCAACTCCTACTACCATGGAAATGATTGATTGATGACCATGATTGATAATTTAGTGCTTGATGTGACAAATGCATTCAAACTGTGACTACTGTGGAAAAGCCAGCATGTCCTGAAATCTGAACGTTTTGGTTGGAACTGTACCGTACATCACATTACAGAAAGCAACCAAACTAAATTTATGTCACATAGTATGGAATTTCTTAAATATAGATACATACATAACAGCACATAACACAGTAAATGTTTCTGCAAGTTTGCCTTCACCTTGATCTGATATAGGCTAATCTGACAAAACTGCAAAAAATTCCTATGTGCAGCGCAAAGGATTTTTCACATTGTTAAAAACTTTTTGGTAAGTTTAGACAAAGGAAAAGCTATTAGATGAGTTCATAATTTAAAGTCTGCAGCTAAATCTCACTCGTTTTCAAATTGACTTTTAAACACAGATAACGTATAAGCTATTTGCAGAAAACACAGTACTTAGAAAATTCTTTCATCACTAACAATAAAAATTACAATAAATGATAATTTTTGACATCATTATCAGTGAAATTTCATACAGAAACACACAGCAGCATATGTTTATACTGTAAATAATAATAGTAACAGTTTATTTAATCTCAATTAAAGAATGAAAATTCAATTTACTATTTCTGATTTAAACTGTGGTGACAATTGATTGGCATATGTTAAATTCATTAAATTTGGTTTGGATGCTTTTCATAGAACTGAAAAATTTTAATATGAAATTCAAAATATCCTAAAGAAAAAATGATAATTATAAATATAAATAAACCAAATGCTCACTATAATTAATGTTAATTGGGATATTTTTTTGCTCATATTAATAATTATACATTAAGTAATTTGATATTAGAGGTAGATGTTAGGTGCCATCTCTTATTGAAAATAATAATTATAACTTAATATTTATTAAATAATGTTAGAATAGTCTAAAAGAACGGCCCCAGAGTGGGATTTAAACCTGCAACTCCTGCTTAGCATGTGGTCACATTGCCAGTTATGCCACCCAAATCTCCAAGACACACTTCACTTCCAGACAAAATTAATTATGGCAATCATTTGGTTTATTATTAACACATTGGGTTTAATGATGTTTATATATATATAATTAGTTGCTTGAGACAAATAATTTTATTTGCAAATAATCATTTATATTTGAGTTAATTTTTAAAACAAGTTTTTCAGATAAAAACTATAAATTGAAATTGCACAATCAACAAAATTTTTATCACATTTTATCTCGTAATCAAAAACTTTTTAATTAGATATATTTACCTTTCGCTGAGCTGCTTCTTTAGCTTTTTCAGGATTCCATTCTTCTCCTTTTCTGTAAGCTAAGAGTTCATCATCTGAGGGAGCAAACTCCTAAAATAAAGTTTTTTTATCTCATATAAAATTTCAATAAAAACTCCTGTAAGATATAGAAATTACATATACATATATTGTTTTGTTTATTCCTTAATTTACTTCCTTAATTACAAGTTTTAACAATTTAAACATTTATTAGAAAATAAAATATTTCAAAATTATAAATAACCACCTTTTTAAAAACCATTACATGCCTGTCTACTTCATCATCACCAAATGAAAATGCAGTTAATCCTCCTACATCAGCAACATCATGTCTAAAATTACATTGAAAGAATTATTTCAATATTTATTTGAAATAATTTAAACTTGTATTAATATAAATATATAAATATTTGCATTTAAAATGCACATAAAAACTTTATACCTGAATAATTTTATTATAAAGAACATTTTTGACTGCTTTTATCAGGTCAGGGTTTGTCCAATAAGTATCGGGACTGAAGTCATAAAAAGAAATTTATTGAAGATATACTGTATGTATATATAGAGCTAATAATCTTCAAAATATGACCCCCCTTCATTGATACACCATTGCCAACAACTTTTCAGTCTTCATATGCCTCCTGGAAGGCGGCAACCACACGGCTGTTTAGTACCCTGTTGAACCCACATGGACAGCCTCAATCGTCCTGAAACGATGTCCTTTCAGGCTCCTTTGATATGAGGGAACAAAAAGAAGTCGAGGGCACCATATCGGGTCTGTAGTGGTTGGGGCAACGTTAACATATGTTTGGCCAGTGCCTCCCTCACAATTAGCAACATGTGACTGAGCACATTGTTGTGATGGAGCATCCAGGTATCGGCAATCTCCCTTTGGGTGCGACGGACCCTAATCCTCAAACATTCATGCACTTTGGCCACATTTTCATTGATTCGGGTCTCTGTCAAAAGTCCAGCATGTTGTTTGTCTTCAACATCTGCCAGCCACCTTTGAATTTTTTATGCCACTCAAAAACACGCATTCTGGACATGACTTCGTCCTTGTAAGCCTCACGGATCATATCCAAAGTTTCAGTGGAAGATTTGTTCAATTTAACACAAAATTTGATGGCAAAACGCTGCTTGATGGTTTGCTGCATTTTGACTCTCAATGCGAGTACTAAACACACTTTCACTTCAGGAGCTATCTACACACTCCAAAGGCTCAGACATAACTAAGCCAGATCTCATAGCTTATGTGACACCCCCTACCACTGATCCTGCCCATAGAAACTGTCCTCCAACCCTTCCCCATTGGCAGGAAAAAATTTATTGGACACACCCTGTATAAATGAAATTTTACATCCTGGAACCTATAATACTTTCATGCACTGTATTAAGATTATATAAACAAAATTAATAAAATATAAACAATAAACCGTCATATGTGTATATGTAAAATAAAATAACATTGTAACAAATAAAATGAGTTTAAATTAATTACTTTATTTGGTAAAATGTTATTTTAACATACACATGTATGGTTGTTTATTGTTTATATTCAGTCAATTTTGTTTATATAATTTTAAATATAGCACATGCAAGGGCATACCTAATGAGGGGCAGCTACCCCTCCCTAGAAGAAAAATGAAAGTATAGTTAGTAATTGACACACAGGCACATAGCACAGATGTATCAATTTAGTATCAGTTAATAATGAATATTGTGACTAGACTACAGCCATCTGTGGTGAAATCTCACTCTCCTTTCCCACTTCCTTGAAACTAATATGAGTTGCCCCCTCTAGTTCAGATCCTGGTTACGCTGCTGAGCACATGAACAATTCAAAGAATATGTTCTAGAATGTAAAAATCTATTTGTATTTGAATTTAGACCTAATGAAAACTAATGAGAGCAATCAAAAATACAGGGGCTCCCCTACTTACAAACAATTTGACCGTACATCTAAAATTTAAATTTTACCCAAATTCTGAAGGTCTCTTGCCAATCATGGGTGGTGACTAAGTTAGTCTTTTGCCAGTAATAAATAATAAATTTTTAATAAATAATTAATGTGATTACTGCTATTGCATAACATCATTTTTCATTTTTGCAAGAATCCTGATGTTCCATCACCACTTGCAAGATGGCATTGAAGTCAGTAATGTTGGAGTAAAGTGTTTTTCACTATTGTTTGCAATTTTTATAAATTTTTACAATTAGTGCTTCAAAAACGGCATCCAAAATGTAATAGAAATCTAGAAGACGAGATAAATGCAAGAAGTGTTGCTCTATTATTATGGAAACTAAACTTGGCATTAAAAAACTTGTGAAATCCACAATTTTTACGTAGTTGTTGAAAAAAATTTGTAAACAACTCAGATGGAAAAAAAAAACCCACTCGTGGTGAAAATTAGATCGAAGGTCACCGTTTGTTTTCATAATTAGGTGGAAAAGTTGACACTTAGGTGGCAGGAATGCACTATCATCGTCAACAAAAGTCAATCATGTGTTAGATTTCCCATGACAATGATATAAAAGCTCAAGCCCCTGGAAGCTCAGGGCGATCCAAAGGAAGTTATACTTGTTAATGTGTGCATCTTGTCTCTATACATTGGATGCAATGACTGAAAGGAGAAGACATCGACATACGACAGACCACAGCTTCGAACTTCCATACTTATTGCCATACTACAGTTCCTGGCCGACTACGATTTCTACAATCCATTCAACACATACCATTCATTTCCTCATAGAGGTATTTTTATTTAAAGCTTTGAGAACTCTCTCTCTCTCAGAATAGCTGTCAGAGCTGTTAAAATTGGCCCTTTGTATAGTTAACTCATATTTAACCGCATGTAAGTAACCTCTATATTATTATCGCCTTTATAATTAGGATTAGTTATTCAATAAATGCTTTGTTATTTTGTTAAACCTGTCGCCTGTCATTGAAAGGACACCTGCCAGCTTACCGACGCACTCCCCACTCGATTTGCCCTCCTAAGCCATCTGACAACTTCGAGGCCGGTCTTTGTGGAATGTGCAGTGTAAGTGGTCAGTAGGAGTTAAACCCTGGCCATAAACTATATATGTTATAAAAAAACACATTTGAAACATCTACTACTAAGAGGTAGTGAGCAGGATAATAAGCAGATGTATTCTATTAAGTACATTACAGGATCAAACACTAAAAATAAGAGATTATTCTGTTACAAATGTACTTTCCAGATTAGTTTTTGACTTACAATAATACCTAACCTGTTCATAAGTAGGGAAGCACCTGCATTTATTATAATAAAATCATACTGGTATAAAGTTTATTTACATGATTTTTTTGAAATAACTAGTTTGCTTTATATTTTCATTCAGATAGTATACGACAATTATCTGTACTTAAAAATGCAATTACAATATAATTTTATGTATAAATTTTTAGTAATTATTACAAATTGACATTTTTGGGAAAAATTATTATTATAAAGTAAATATTTTCTAATATCAATCATTTGTTTCAACAGTAAACTTGTTTATAAAAATTACATCATCACAAAGAACACTTAGGAATGGATGGAAATCTGCATGGCCATGATAAGGAATAAAATCAATACAACAGCAGCTTAAGTGCAAAGTTCCAGTGTGAGTTGCATTCACTCAACTATTATTGTATAGGTATAAATATAGATTGCACAGATCACATACCTATAGATGACTCACTCAAATTTTCAGTATATACTAATAGTGCAGCATACTACAGCAGTTGAACTTCACAGATACAGCTGTTGAACTTCAAGTGAGAAAAGATTGTCTTTCTGCAATAATCCCAATGTTGAAAGAAATGCAAGAATAATAATACAAATATGAAATCAGTAGAGACAAAAGTTGCAAGCATCTACATGGAAAGTCTGGAGCAAAATGTTGTATAATGAACAGAGTAGCACTTGTATCAAATGGTGTTGGCAAATCACCTTAGTATAATAATGGAGTGGTTCCATATATCAAGAAACATCTGCATGCTTTGTTCAATAGCATTTGTTACAGAAGAGACTTTTTATTCACTGTCCAATGTTGTAACAGTGAGTAAAAAGACTTCCCTTGACCTTACACCACTGATATAAAGAACTAAGTGGTGACAAGACACTTGAATAATGATTGCTACTAAGGGCTGTATAACCCTTTCAGACAAACTGCAGTTTAGTCCGATGCATCATAATGAATAGACTCTTATATGGAGATTCTGTAGTAAACAGTTGCTGGAAGCATGCATTTCTGACACCATACATCTGTGATACGAGTATTATGGTATGGAGTGCTATTGGTTTTACTTCAAATTTCTATCTCATATAGCATTACCAGAATAAGAATCAACTAGTGGAACAGGAAAGAGATTTTGAAGACTGAAGTTCTGTATTACTTGTAGACATATTTTAGCATCAACTTTCAAGAGAACATACCTGGCCTGACCTCATGTGATTCAGAAAATGTTGACATCTCATGGATGCAAGATGTGTTACAGTCCTTCCTTGATTTGTGACATATAGTGCATTAAACATGTCTGAAACATGATACAGTACTTGGTAATGCAATAGTCATACCAGCATCTACTTGACTTTGTATTTCTAATCATTTACATGTTGTATAATGTGTAATCTACATCATAAATTTCATTTCATTATCTGGTATCTTAGTAGTGCTCTTTCTATAAACAATAGTGTACTAACAAATCTTTATTTGTATTTTGAAAGTGCATTGTATTGCTATTTTTCAAATTATTTCTGTAGGAAGGAATATCAATCCATACCAATGCTTGTCTTAGTATGGATTGATATTTCTTCTTAAAGAAATAATTTGTAGATCTTTATTGATGCAATTAGAGACAGAAAAACATGTTAAAGTAATTTTCAATCTTAATTTCACTGTCAAGAAATAGATCAAGTTGACAGAATATTTTAACTTCTAATGGATTAAAAAAACCATTGATAATTACAAGGGCTATTTTTTAAATAAGGTCCATTTGTGAATGAGAGTGAGAATGACGCACGATCACAGCAGTGCATATGTGCGTCTGCTCCGAGCATGCTTTGTGCACATTTAGACACCATTTGCAGCCGTATTGTCTGTCTGTGTGCCGAGCTGTAAAAGTTTATAATGTTTAAGAAAATTGAGCCACCCGCTGACTGTGAGATACGATCTGATACGAGACTCGAGAGCAAAAAAAACGGCACAACAGGAAAAACACAGCCACAGATGTGAAAAGTACAGTGATAATGCTATGAGTGATAGCATAGTTCAAAAGTGGGTGAGAATGTTCAAGGACTGGCGGGTTAATGTGCATGATGAGCCAGGCCCTGGCTGACCTTCTCTGATTTCTGAAGATTTGGTTTGCAATGTGGATAACAAAATTCAAGAGGACAGATGATTCACAATTTCAATGTTATTAATTGAATTTCCACAGGTTTCAAGACCAGTTTTGTATACCATTGTTTCGGAGAAACTGAATTATCAAAAATTGTGTTCTTGGTGGGTTCCAAGACTGCTTTCTGGTGATCACAAAATAAAAAGATTGGACAGTACTTTATCATTTTTGACTCGATATGATCAGGAAGGATGAATTGTTGCACCACATCATTACAGATGAGACTTGGGTGTCTCACATGACTCCTGAGTCCAAGCAACAGTCAATGAAATGGGACACACATCTTCGCCAACCAAAGTGAAAACCAAACAGTCCATTTCAGCACAAAAAATAATGGCAACTGTCTTTTGGGACAGAAAAGGGATTTTGTTAGTGGATTTTATGCCAAGAGGCACCATAATCAATTCTGATGCATATTGTGTGATCTTGAGAAAATTCCAGCATGCCATACAAAACAAACGGCATGGTCTACTGTCTTCTGGTGTGATGCTGCTCCATGATAATGCAAGGCCACATGTTTCTGCACAAACACAAGGTCTAATCAGTTCTTTTGGATGGGAACAACTGGATCATCCACCTTACAGTCCTGACATTGCACCCAGTGATTTTCACTTGTTTTGATACTTAAAGGAGTTTTTTGGTGGTTCAATGACAATGAAAAAGTGAAAATTGCAATCATGGATTGGATTTTTTCACAGGTGGCAGATTTCTTTGAAGTTGGAATTCACAAAATTGTTGAGTGGTATGACAAATGTTTGAACAAAAATGGAAATTATGTATAAAAGTAGATAAAAGTGTGTAGAATATGTGAAAAAATATATTTTAATGATATTTACAGTATTTTTCTTCTTATTAAATAGCGGACCTTATTTAAAAAATAGCCTTCGTATATGTTCTATTTTTCTGAAACAATATAACAAATTATATATTATTTTAAAAATAATTTGAATTGATTTAACCAATTAATATCTTTATAGATTCTGTATAAAATCTTTATTAAAAATTTCAAAATTTATTATTGGCATTTATCTTTTATCTATTTACTTCTTTAATCTTTTTAGCCTTTAGTATAAAAATTTCTTGTTTCTTGTAGTTTGAATATTGAAATTTTGTATAAACTCTGGAATATTAATTTTTGATATTAAGGCAGTAATTTGAACTAAAAGATGTACAATAAATATCAAGAAATAATATGGTAAATATATAAGTTGTATTTTCTCTTTATTTCTTATTCTTTACTGATGTATAATATTACACATAATATATTTGAATACATCATATATTTTATTAAAATGTATAAAATATAATTGTTATCTATAAAAATACATGCTATAGAATCCAATTCAAATTCTGTTATAGAGCTATTAAATGATATCTCAGGTTAGTCATATATAAACTCATTATAAAAAATGTATATGATCTAAAAATAAAGCAACATAAATCACAGCCTTCTTTAATATGCCTCTTATCAAATAAACAAAATTAAACAATAATGGATATCTTTCTTTCTAGGCTCTTTCCCATCTAAAACTATGCAAAATTGCTTTTAAAAAATCTCTCTGGCATTAGAGTACTATAAAAAGATAGTATAACAATAAAAATCCAAGAAGAAAATAAAAGCAATTTTACATACCGTATTTTGAAGAGTATAAGTTGCATCTTTTTTACTACTTTTTGAAGCTCAAAATCATGATTCATCTTATACTCGACAGGTAACCATTTTTACAGTGAACGTATCTACAGTAGTGGTCCACTCTAGGGACCAACCTGTACAGTGGTCCATTAAGCAGATGATCCCTCAACCGAATGGCTAGAGTACCTAGATTATCAGAGTAGCGACACACAAGTCATCGCTGCCATGTTCTGTTGACTGTCATCACATGACCTCTGAGTTTACATTAAGAAATTACAATTATTTCAGTTTAATAAAGCATTTTATTTGTTTTTTTATTCAAGAATATGACAGATGGATGAATCGATACCTTTATTAAACTGAAATAATTCGTGATGAATGGAACAAGTGGATGATGACTATTGCAAATAAAAGTTTAACACCAACAAGGAGAATAAAAAAGCCAGCATTGCACAAGTATGCAATTGGGTGCTGCATGCTTGGGAAGGTATTAAAATGGAGATCATTATTCAAGTCATTCCAAGAAAACTGGAATATCTAATTCTCTGGGTGGTACAGAAGATGAGGATTCATCATCATCAGAATCTATGAAGATTCTGAGGAAGACAATCTCCACATACTAACATCTGAAGTGGAACATGCCATTAGTAAAGCAAAGCCAGGCAAGGCCTGTGGACCTGACCAGATTCACGTGGAACTGCTGAAGCAGCTGGACTACAACAACATCCATGATGATGATTCAGTCAATACTTCGGGAATTCAAGAAAAAAGGGATGATGAATCAGTCATTAATGACGTCATAGATATGTTTCCTAATGGGTATAATTTACCAGTAGATAGCAGTGATTCAGTTGAAGAATTTCTTGGCCACTATGATTAATAAAATGCATCTTTAGACAATCCCATTAAAAAAGTTTTTTTCTAAATTTTTGTCTCAAAATAGGGGTGCATCTTATACTTGAGAGTGACTTATACTCATCAAAATACGGTAATTTTAGGAGAAAAAGAGTCTTTGGAAAAAAATCACTCCATTGCTACTTAATTATATTTTTATTAGATAAGAATTTTTTAAAAATTTCAAATTTTGTTTTTTTTTGTCATCAAAACATGTACTACAGTAGAACCTCGATTATCCGCCCTAATTGGGGACTGGGGTTGGTCGGATAATTGAAAAGTCGGATAACCGAAAAGTATGAAAAAATCCATTATTAGTGTAGTATATTATTATATCCCATGTAATTAGTATATTAGTATATCGCTATTAACCTATTTTGCGTTGNAAGTGCATACTATTTATCATTACACCTTATATTACATTTATTCTGAAAATCACTCGATTATGTAAAAAATTAAAAATAATTTTGTTAATACAGCCAACAAACATTTTTTATTGCGATTTCTGACCACCGGCTTAATTAAACTATATATTCATACTTGAAGGTTAGACTATTTATAAAAATATCAAATTTCCGAGTCTATGTTAATCCTTTTTATACACTCCAGAAGTAACAGTTAACATGGGTTTTATTGAAGAATATACTTCTTAAAACAAAGGTAAACAATAAGTAAAAAAAATTCACAAAGTTAAAAACGATCAAGTGTCAGCCTTCTGATGAAGTGAAGAATTCTTCATGTTTTTAATGTAAAGTGTCAGAATCTAAAACAGAAGGCTGACACTTGATCGTTTTTAACTTTGTGAATTTTTTTTTTACTTATTGTTTACGTTTGTTTTAAGAAGTATATTCTTCAATAAAACCCATGTTAACTGTTACTTCTGGAGTGTATGTATTATTTAATAATATTTGGGATATATAGGCCTAATATACATCCTGAACATTTATTGTCATGTTGAATAATTTTTCACTTGTTTACTGAAGATGTTATTTGTGTATAGTTCATCAACAAAGAGAAAGTATTATAAAGCATTCATACATTTATTCTATTCATATGAAAGATATAAAAGGGGACTGTCATTAAAAAAATAAGCTAATTGTTTGATATCTCCTTTTACAATTTTCTCAATATATTGTAAAGAGTCATTTTTGGCTTTAGATATTTTCTTGATATGTGATAATTCTTGAGTTAAAATAGCATTAAATCTTTTGTTTTTCCTCATCACTTTTAGAATAAGATAATAGTGAAAAATAAAAGTATAAAGCAATTTGTTTTTTGTTCAATCTTTAACTAAGAGTTTGTTTCCTTCATTTTTAAGTCTTTTGGATTTTTTATTATGTTAGCTTTATTTTTTAAGTTTGGAAGCAAGCGTATTTTGACAATGATATCACAATGAAATAACTTATAACCAACTGATTTATAATTTCAGAGTGATAATGTTTTAATATAACGAGTAAGACTCAATCATATTAAAATTTAATTACAGTTATAAAATTCAATTTTATAAATGCAATTAAAATTTAATTAAGATTGTATAAGTAAGATTATATATCAGTATAATAAATTTTATTTTCTAAAATTAATTAGGATTATAATAAAAAGATTAATTTAAAGTTTACCATACTGAAAAATAAATCATAATTCTTATTAAGTTTATGTAAAAACAATTAATTTATTCTTACACTATGGAACGACTGACTTTATCCATAGGCTCAAATTTAAATTTCTGCATGCTGGAATCTTTTATGAATTCTGTTATTCTTTTTTCAATCTAAAGAATTAAATAAAATGTATTTTTAAATATTAAATACAAGTATTCAAAATTTTAAAAAAATTTGATTAATTATATGAAAATTTTCTGAAATTAAAATTTGAAAATAATTTGATTTAATTCTAATTATTAAATTTACCAAGAGATGGCGACTTAATCGCCTACCTCTACCCAAAGTGTTTTCTTTCTAAATTGTTATTAGTCTTATTATAGCATGTTATATAATATGGCAGTTTGTATTTGCAATATGCTTACTTGTTCTCGAAATCGCTTCAAATTTGCTTTATCTGCAGCCTGTCTTTTAATCATCTGTTCTTTTTGCTCTATAAGTGATAAAAAATTAAATAATAAATACAAGTAATAACATAAAATAGTTAAAAATTTTAAATTTTAATTACAATTTCTTGAGACATTAAATGTAATAACATTTAATAACTAGTGATTTAATTAATATTTTTCTAATGTATAATAAAAAAATGAAAGAATTACTACATAATCAATACTTATTTTTACACATTACATTTAAACATTATTTTTTTTTAATAAAAAGTATTACAATAAAACCTTGATTTAAGGAACAGAATTTCTGGTCTGTATGTCCTATATGAAAATTACCATCCTATTAATTTTAAAATGCTTTTTATATGTAATTAAATTAACAGGCTCTTCTTTTTTTTTTTTTTTCAAATCCAAGAGTCACCACTCTTAACTTCGTGCCACAATGGGAGTGTCTCATATCATCATCCAAAGACAAATAAATAGAAATTTTTTTGTTTTGTATGAGATAGGCCCATTTCTGTGTTTATCTCCCAATAGATGAATTGTTTGAGAGTGAACTTGTCAAGCTTTTTTGGGGCGGGGGATGTTTCACCCATCTGTGGGAAGTTTCCATGAAGGATTTCCAGAGTTTCACACAGAATTTCACACAGCAATGCTGCTCCTTCAAAGAGCTCATTTCCATGGATCCGAATTTTTGCTGAGCCCCACAAACACCCCTTCACATAAACGGCCGTAACTGATCACCAAAACAAGCTATCAACAAACAAATTGAAGGAGGTTATTCAGGAGGTTTCCATGGACACAATGCATCCAAGTGGATTACAAAATAACCAACTGCTGGCGCACTATTCAAAAAGTTCGGGAACTTTTTGAACAACCCACATATATAGTGTGTAAGATGATAACTTGTTTTTTTATGTATGTTTATTTTATAATGTGTTGATTAAATTTAATTAAAAAAAATCACCTATAATTTCTTTGAAAAAAAAGGTCAAATGATTAATAAATATAAATGGAATAAATATTTTATCTAATACATTAATGATTCCCTAAGATAAACAACAAGAAATATTGCTTTGACAGCATTTATGATATAGACATTATCATTTGAATCCTACATTTTGAGCAATTTTTATTTTTAAGATTTTATATGAACTATTAGAAAATGTAGTTAGTTCAGAAATGTAGAAAAACAAATCCATTTCAATGGTTACAAATAATAATTGATTCATAAAGATTTTAAAATTTTGTAAAAATGTTACATTAATGAAATTAATCTTAGATGCTAAAACACATACATATCCTGGGTATCAGTTTTTTGATTTTTTGGGGGTTCAGAGTGTCTCAAAACATTGAGATTCAAATACTTGAGTTGTGCAGAAAGAGATGTGCTATGTATGAGACATGCATTATTAAAATCCATTTGGATGTGTCAAAGGATGAAAGGACTGTTGTGCACAAACCCTTTTGAACCGTGTAGTGATGTTCCTTTAGTCTAATATTCAATGGTCTGCAGGTAGCTCCAATGTAATCATAGTGCTGATTTTATGCAACATTCCACAACCTGAAGATGGATGTTAAAAATAATTGAAAACGTTCGTTTTGTATAATAAATTTTGTTCATTTTCACTGGATTACAGATGTTAGTTGCTGCTTTTATGACAATCATTGTTAAATAATTTCTAAAAAGGAAGGTTATTACTCATACTTTGAATATCATAAGTTCAACTTTTTAAGTATAAAAACTAAATTTTTTGAATGTTTTAATTTTTTGGCACAGTTCATAAGTAGGAAAAGTTCTATTGCACAATAATATACTACATATCAAGCATATATAAAATACTTTTTGTAATTAAAATTTTTCTTCAGTTAGATGAGAAACAATAAAATAAGAAAAATCAAGTGTATTTCAAAATTCCATTTCACATTTTAACATAAAATGTCTAGTCTAATAAACTGTCAAAAACTAAAAGATGAAATTAAATAAATAGTAAATAGATTATTATACATTTTTTTTTTTAATGAAATAATTATATAAATCACTAAATCAAATCACTAAAATAATAAACTAAAATCACTAGATATTTCGTATGTAAAAAGACACCTAAAAATTCTGTAAATGATCAATAATTACTTTGTCTTAATATCTAATTAAATGAACAATGACATATTATTAACAACAGAAAATCTCAAGACAAAAATTTAGTCAAGAACTAACTTGTATATTCACACTGTTTTTCTAATTTAAACTGTAAAAAGAAAAAATTCCTCATTTGGATTTTTGGTTATTGACGTCATTCATTCAAAAACAGCAATCAAAGTAATGATTAGTTTATGCCAATCTATAAACACAACAAACAACGATCTTTTCTCTCCATCATATCACTACAACACATTAATTAAAACATGTATTTCAATAAAAATAAAAAATATCTTGATCTTCCACCATCAAAAATAATCTTTGTGAATGTCTTCACTCTCCATAAAATTCTTACACTGCTTGGAAAGAATACATATAATGTATAATGACCACAAATATAAGAAAAGCTGTTTGGATGATTGGCACAACTTCATTTATTCATGATAAATTGAAAGCATGCCAACTGTACACAGAAAACAGGAAACACGCTAGGAAGTAAAATCAACTGAAGATTTCAGACTATGAACTTTAATTTGAAAGTATTCAATACCAGAATCGAATGTATATTCAAGATACCAAAAATAGAAGTTAGTCAGTGCATATGTCAGCATTTGTAGTCACCTACAACAGATGGTACTATTCAGTTTGATTTATTTGATAGATGATGTTTCTTTTGGCCATAACTTCAAAATAATTAATGATATATCCATCATATTTTTTACATTAAATAATTTGAAGATGTAGTTTTCCAATAATATACAGTTCATTGGCATATAATAACAATAAATATTTTTTTAAAAAATGCTTGAACATTTTTAAAAAGAGCATTTTCTTCAGCAGAAAAAAATGTAAGAAATCTCAAAGTCTGGAAAAAAATTAGAAAAATCTGAATCTAGATTTAAAATCAGCACACTCAATTTAGCCTAAATCAAAAGAATTTTGTCTACTGTAAAATTCAGGTTGTGTATTGTTGTTAAATGCAAAATTTTTGATAGATGTATCAGGCTACAATTTGTTTTATTCTATCAAATAGGAACCTATATATCTTTTTATGTATTGTACTCTCTTGAATTTGTATACTAGCATGAATTTATTTCTACCTCACCAAGAACCTAAGACAGAATCATTGCCATTTCCTTTTTTAAATATGACATTGTTTTGATTTGGGATAAGATCAAAATGCTAAAACCATTAGATTTTACATAAATTCTATATAAGATTGTAAAGTAAGTAATAAAATTATATAATTTTTATTCACTTCAAATTGCAGATAATAGCTACAATTGGCAGTTCATACACGTTGCCAAGTCTACTATTTTGTAAAGGAAACGCGAATCCTATGGATAACTAACCTTCAAATTTATTGTTATAGCTTTACAACTTTTGTTCACTGGACACACAGATTTATTGTAAATTATTTATGATTTAAATAAGCTTAATCATCTTAATAATACACATGCAACATAAAAGGCCACAAGTTATCTATGCTTAATATAAAGCATCATGTTATGTATTTATTATTCAGTACAGTAGACCCCCCTATAACATGGGTTCATATAATGCGGATTCATATATTGCAGGAAAAAATTGCAACCGTATTCGTATAAAGACGCTAAAAGAGACTCGTAAAATGTGGTAAAAGGTCATCACCGACTCGTGTCACAACAGGATTGGTCGAATCTGGACTAATAGTGGACTACTTACACACTACAGAGAGTTTAGGCGGGTAAGTTGAGTTTACTATCATCTGTATAGTATATAAATTAGGTACTGTAAGTCTAATACAGTACTGTAATTTTATACATTTCTTGTGAAAAAAACATTTCTTATTCAACAGCCATAAAAATTATTTCTATTAATGATGTCTCCAAAGTTCAATGAATTTTTTGCAAAAAAATAACTTATCAGAAAATGTGCCTGCCATTTGGTACGCTGCTCCGCAATGAAAACAAGCATAAGCAATGGCATTGTCGAACAGTGCACACTCGGTAAGTAACCCTACAATTTTTTGTTTATAACATAGTTTATATGGATTATTCCTAAAAAATTGTATGTGTTTTGGAAATGTTGAATCAAATTAGTCTAGAATCGATTAATTTTATGGAAGAAAACCTTTCAAACAGCCGTAGTCCATAAACTGCACATGTGCCGGGCTGTGAATGGCTCATGTATTTAAGGATTCCTACAATGCGAAATTCTTATAAAGTGGAATGTATCTACCGCGTTATAGGGGGGTCGACTGTATTTTCAAGTCATGCAAAAAATCCATGTAAAATCATTTTTAAAAATCCAATCATTGGAGAGAATATTTTCATAGATGAATTATATTTTCAATAACAAATAAATACAAAAGTCATAACAATGCAAGAAATATATTATACATTTACAAAAATATCAATTTTTGTGCCAAGTAATAAGACATAGAATTCATTTTAAAAAGAATTTTTAATAAATCATATTACACAATAATTTAGATAAAATTAGATTAATATTTTTGCAAATCATTTAACAAGACAACAAATAAGTTTTGGAAAGCAATAACCAATGAAATTTTGCTTTTGTTCATATAGATAGCCTAAAAACCTTATAGCTTCTGATTACAAACAAATTTTGTCTCAAATATAATGAGTATTGACTAAATTTAATTCAATATATTCAAAGTAAATTATGCTTTATCCAATTAAAAAACATAAATTTTATGTTCTTAGAAATATTTATGGACTACTAATCGGCTTTGATAGAAATCATTGTAGCTATTATCTCCTAATTTGCTCTATTTCCTAAGAGAATCATTTATCTATATTATATAATTCATATGTATGATATTAGATAATATAATAATAATTAAATTAAAATAATAATAATAATTCTAATAGTAACAAAATGGAAGATAATAACACTTGTTAATCAATGTTATTTATTTCAAATATAGGTAAATTATATGTTGGCTTGTTATTAGTTAATTATATCTTATTATTATTTTGAGTTGATAGCATTGGAAATCTGTTCATTAGAAAATTTATACTATTTCTTATCAGTTAAAACTGTCTTAAAGTATCTCAAGACAGTTTGAACTTGAGATTTCATTTTTTTATATAAAACAAATATTTTACGTCTTGTCATATAGCAAAAAAATCACCATGAAAATGTTTCAACGTTGTATCAATGTTTATATCTTAACTTATCACTTCTGTATTAACATAAAACTGCTAACTTGCATATTAATCTTACATTATATTTACACTGCTATCTTGATCTGATTTTATTTTATTTTTTTTATGAAAGATAAAAATTCAAATATTTAAAGTTTTATATATGTTTTTTGTTATTGAAATAGTTAGAGCATTTATTTAAAACTTTCAATTTACCATGCAATACTATAATTATAAATTACTAATTAATAAATTTTATTAAATATATCTAGACCTATATAAAAATTACCATCTCATTTTTTTATAAAAATAAAAAAACTAATAAAANATAGGTTTAATAATGATCTTGTGAATACAAATACAGGGGTGAGCACATTTTCTTAAAAAAATGTCAAAAAATTAGATTAGTTTTCCTTTACATTTATAATGTGTGATTATATTGTTAAACTATCAGATAAAAAAGAAAATGTTTTAAAAAATTTCAAATCTATATAAATGGTTGTTCATATCATTTTCGAAAATGTGTTTGAAAAAATTAATGTATTATGTGGCCTAAGACAGAGTGGCTATATATTTATAATTATTTAATAAATTACTTTTGTACAGGAAGCAATAAGAAATTGAAAAAGTCATGAATTAATTTCTATCAAATGACAAGGATTAATGTGCAGGTAAATTCTTAATTGTTATATTCACAAACAAATCTAGAAAAAGGATCATTTCTAATGATGATAATAATTATTACTGTGGCTTAAATCACCTGAAATAAAGTGTTTGTTATACAAATAAGTTTATGCATATTTTGTGGGCAATCACTGTAAACCGTTTTTAATTTTTTTCTCATTTATCCATTTATTTTTTCTTTTCTTCTTTACTAAGAAAAATATGAAAACTTGCATTTTTAATTTTTGCCACATTATGATTACAATAATTCACCAAATGACTTTTCAGCATTTCTTTCAAGATAATGTTCTCACTACTAGTATATCTGTATTTGCATGTTAGCTTTGTTTTCACCCTTAAGTTTTGACATCATTATTAAACCTATCCATAATTTCTATTCATATTTTTTACGTAAGGGTCAATCAAATCTCTTTTTATGAAGTTATACTCTTCTAATATCTGATAAACTGAATATATATTATGAAAGTACTCAAGTATCAACCAAAAAAATTTATAATAAACTTGAATCAAATATGGTCCATTAATGATTTTCTATCATCCATAGTGTAATTTGGCAAAAAAAAATATTTATATAATTATTAAAGAAACAATAATATCTCAACAATTTTAGTTTAACTCAGGGATGAGCAACCCGCAGCCTGCATTAATATTTTTTGTATCCCGCATCGCATAAAAAAGTTCAAATGTTATTTTCTACAACTTATGTATAGTTTGCAGTTTCCATCTCTTAGTAATCAATCTTATCTTAATCCATCTTATGTATATAAGTCATAGAAAACAGCATTTGAACTTTTGCTGCATACTTCTTTAAGCTGGGAAATTGATATATTTATTCATATTTTATGCGACGCAAACTGCAAAAAATACTTTTTCTGCACTGAATTTAGTAAAAATTAAAACAAGAAACCGGCTAACAGACACATCAAAACTAATTTAAAACTAGCAGTGACTAATATTTAACCAAATATTTCCGATATATTATGTTTACATCAGTTCCAGAAGCTAAATTAAGTATACCTATGCTAATTTATAATTATATACGAATAAATAATTATGATTTACCGATATTTTTTTCTCTTTTCTCTTGTATGCGGCCCTTACGTAGAAAAAGGTTGCCCATCCCCGGTTTAACCGATGCCTTTTGAAATAAATAATGTAAGCGAAAACTTCTCTTTGCTTTCTCTTAACATAAAAAACAATAATCGATGTAACCAAACAAAGTTAGAAGTTACTTTCGTGTAATTTGTGTATATATGTATATACATACCGTACGTATATTATCTAAAACTACCGTAACTTCTATTCAAGGTTGTCGAGAGCTTGTACGGAGGTTTAATAAAAACAGTCTTAAAGACTTTATTTTTTGTTAGTAAAAATAACAATAAGTTATATGGGTAGAAATCATTAAGGGCCCTAAAGTTTTCTTTCACATAGAAAATTTATGAGCCCTTAGTGGTAGAAAGAGAAGCCAGAATTCCCCAGCTTCCCCTCTCGACGGCTCCCGCTTCTACCGTAATCAAACAGAATCACAGACGGATACGCATAATAGCTCGATGGGTCCCAGACAAATTTGAATTAGGAGGCCCCACGTAGTGTTGACTTCAGGGATTTTTCTTTGGGGGAATTTACTGGAGGAAATGAGATTGGCACGAGGCCCCCTCTGGTGTGGGCCCCAGGCAATTGCCCATAGGATAATGCAGATAAATATTAATCATCTCAACATTTAATTTGCTTCAGAACATGGAAACTGAATTAAAAAAACATTATAATTATTATTGGGGCATTTTACACAAATACTCTTTATTAATGAATGAATGAAGGTCGTATCATGTAAATAAATAATCTTTTGATATTATTCGAAATCTTACTTTTTAATAATTCTTTCTGTTCATTTTTAATTGTCGGCGGTTTGTCCATCGAATTGAGAATACTTCCCAACAAATCCATTTTTCTTTTTTATCTCGATTATTCAAACGAAATCACATGTGAAGATATAACCGCCATTAAGTAAATACAATTGCTAATGTTAAACTTTTTGCCGCATCGAGGCGCTTCGAAATATACCAATAAAATCGTTATTATTTTATTAATATAATAATTTAGTTTTTTCTTTTATTTATTAATATATAACGCAGATTATTTTCAATTATTTTTATTTTATTTTTAATTATTAAACAGTTTATTTTTTGTTTACTGTTTCGTGTTGAGATACGAAGAGGTTTTGCGGTCGGATAGCCGAGCGGTCAAGGTGGCAGCTTGCCGCTCCGGGAGACCGGGATCGAATCCGGACGGATCTAAAATCACCAGGAATTTTTTGGGGTGGTCTGCCCTCATAACGATCTTGCTATAAAGAGGTCCTCTTAGGGCCCGCAAGACGGAAAGAGTTTTTTAAAAAATATGAAAAGGCAAAGTTTTTTCTTTTGACTTCATTTTGTGAGCATTATGAAGGTATCTTTTTTCCAAATTCATCGTAGGTTCGGCCAGGCACAGAATTGGAACGACCGAGTGATGAGAGGCGGGGAAACTTATTTGGAACTGATCGTCTACAAAAAATTCTGGGAGTTGTTCGCTCGGATCCAATTTCGGGTCTCCAGAGCGGTAGACTTATATCATAACTGCCTCGGCCATCAATCCCTTGCGTTAGAAATCCGTTTCGACCGTTCGTCCCAAATAAAGAATAGCTTGAATGAGTGTGCCATAGTTTTCGTAATCTTTTTTATAAAACAATACAGATGACTATTTGAAAAGGCCGAATCCGGACAGTAAGTGGGATAAAGTTTCTGATCATCTGACAGTAACCAAGAATCCAACTAGCACAAGCTTTGAAACCGAAAACCTTTCGTCATTGTATAGTGGCAGATTTCAAAATGTGCTGTAATTTCTCTGACTGTCTCATATCGATTTTCTTTTAATTAAGAGAGCATGAAGTCATTGTTGATTTTATTAGTTGCAGTCTGCAGGCGACCATTACGGACTAATTTGCGATATTCCACAACTTCTATTCATCATCATTGTTTGTTTAATCCATTTGCCTGATCACCCGACAATGTGAACACACGTGAAAATTTCTGTATATGCATGCTTTAGTCTTTGGTGAATATCATCTGTGATAATTCATTGCATGCTCTCGGAAGTACGGATACCTGACCTTATCAGAATATATTGCACATGCATCTAATGTCTGTAGCAACGTGCAACTAAACACAAAATCTGTAGTGCGAATCCCATATTTGTGCAGTAATTACTTGTCCGATTCCGGGTTTTATAAGTATTTCTTTCTTCTAGTTATGTTAAAGTTAAAACGTTTACCTAAAGTACACAGTGTATATTATTCGGCCCACAAAAAAAAAAAAAAAAAAAAAAAAAAAAAAAAAAAAAAAAAAAAAAAAAAAAAAAAAAAAAAAAANATCTTGTAAAAAAAAAAAAAAAAAAAAAAGCTACGGAAGGAATATTAGTAAGATTTACCATTCGTATCAAATATATACAATAGATATTGTTTATGCGACCGCACATCAATATTATCAATTAAAACTATAATCCACAACCTCAATGTACTTATCGTATACCAGCGGAGCCCGCAGACTATACAAAAGGGAGGGTCACAAGCTATAAAAAAGGGCATCATATATTATACAAGAAACTTCAAACTATGATTCAACGTCAGATCAGCGCTCCCACGAGGTATTCGATATTCTCGCATTTACAACATCATTTATGATTTAAGCGACTAATAAAAATCGATACAGGGATTTGTACGCTTTGTATTTATTAAGTATTTATCGTGTAATTTTTCGAACATTTTTGCTTTTTTCAATAAATAATTTATAAAAAATTTCACTTAAGCCACCACAAAGCTGTTAAGATCATAAATGACATCATAAATGTCAGAATACCGAATATTTTTTCACTTTATTAAAATGGCTGGCAAAATCTCCTTCGTAATACGATCTTTGAACATTTACCATATAAATGCTATTGTCGTAACCGTTTTAAGTTTCTTTTTCGTTACTACTGTACTACGGATTTTGTCTAACGAATGAATAACTCGGGAAAAATTGTTCTCTCGGTACCGTAAGCTTAATTCTAACAATAAGATAAAATTTTATTAACATTAATTTGTATGAAGATAAGTGATGATTGACATCTTAACCAGATTAATGTTTTCTAACAGATAAAAAGTATTGTTCGGAATTTTACAACCTGTTCTCCTTCCCCCATTCTTGTTTTCAGTGTCTTTATTGACGCCTGCGGTTAAAATTTAGAGGTGAATATAATAAATGTCCTATTTAAAAGGTCTGGGGATTGTAAAAATGCCCGTTAAATAATTATGACCAGAAAATATCACAAATCGTGATATTTTCTGGTCATAATTACAGGGAGTGGCCCAGGTCCCTGAGCCCTCCTTGGTTATGTTTCTGTATTTATTTTATAAGGACACTTCCAATTGCAGGTCATTTCTTCGGACATTAACATCTCTAAATAAATAGAAATGCTTTAGAATCGATTAACATGGACTTAAACCAATTTTTTTTTTTTAAGAAACTAGAAAAATATAGTAATATACCGCAGTACAATCTTAAAAAAAAGAGAGTTACAAATGTCGTACAATAACCATTTATAACGGGATGTTTATTTACGCGAGTAATAGTACCACGAACAAGCATCGCATAGTTTACTTATCGATTTTCTAAAGTGCAATTGCCATAAAGTTTCTATCTGTGGTACCATGGTCATTGTACGGTAGCTCCATCTTTTATTCGTAAAAATAACTGTTTAATAAAATTTATTATTATAATTTCGAGAGAAAATTGTGCCATTTATTAAGCGCTCGAAATGACTCTACAAAAGATTTTTATAGAGTCATTTCGAAATATTTTAACTATTATCGGTATAAATTCAATAGATTTCGGTAAAAATATAATTATTATTGCCACCTAATTTGTAATAAATTCACCGAAAATTTTTATTTAACTTACTACGGCCCAATAACTATCATTTCCCAACAAAGGTCACTCTTAAAAAATGACAATTTTTCCGCCAATTGCAGTTGTTCAGAGGTTTGATTATATTTGGTGTTTCGTTATATTCAATTCGAAATAGGATTAAAAAAAATATATTATGGTTAATCTACGTACCAATAAATCTTAAATTACATGGTGATTACTTTTGTTTTAGAGAGAGAGAGAGAGAGAGAGAGAGAGAGAGAGAGAGAGAGCCTTTCATCCAGATATAGGTCTACAGTAGACTAAGAGTTTTACTTGGAAAGAAGTAAGAATATCATATTCATTGTGTCCATATCAAAATATCTTATATCCTAAAATAGGTCTATATTGAATACTGTTTAAAAACTTTTAAACTACAAAAATACATGCAAAATTGTCCTAAAACTGAGTCGCACATCTGCCCACCTGTAATCGAGTGGATAAAACCACTGCAACTGGTATCTGGGCACGAGTTTGCGCCTAACCACGTGGAATTTTCTAGGTTTTCTTCACGTATCTAACAACCAAACAGGATGGGTCGGATAGCCGGAATGAACCATGGACGATCCTTTCCCGATATGTCAGGCTCCGTTCTTTACCACACCACCTGATCATCGCATTGTAGGCAAAAACTGCGATGGGTATAGTAGAGCGAAAAGAGCCAAAATGAAAATAAAAACACTTAAATAGGGCCCAGAAGAATAGAAGATTTCGCTGATAGGCATATCCGTGTGTTGCTTCGCATCAAATCAAACCTAAATTGGATTTTCTTGATGACCACTTTTGTATTTCTTACAGAATGAATATTAGTTGCTCAAAAACTTTTAATAAAGTCTTTAATTATATCATATCATAATATTGCAATATTAATAATGTTTTTAATACTTAAAATACAAATGAAACCAAACTAAGAGTGGAAATCATAAACAAACGAGATAATTCTACATGCATTCCCATAATTAGTGTTGCTAATGAATATTTGTATACTGTCATAGGAATTAAGTGTTAAATAGCTAATTTACATGTTAATGTTCATGTTTCTGAATAATTATCTCTATTTTTATATTTGGTATATTATTATTATCACTATTAGCATCTTAACAGCTCTTTAATTTACAAAATAATCTGTTAATAAATGAATATCATTAATAAAATGGTCGTCAAAAATACTCATGTAGAATAAATATTAACATTTCGTAGCCAATTGGCATCGTTATATAGAAATTACGTTATCGTGCAATTATTTTAGCAATTAACTTAATAATTAGCTAGTTATTCATTACTTCTAAACAATAATGTTTTATAATTAAGCTTATATAATTGATGATTTGGCGTGAATTCAGAACATTTAAATTTGGTTCCTTTCCTCCAACTTCTAATGCTTCTAGTCGGTAAATCTTTGAAGTATTTTTTTTTTTATTTAAATAGCTAATTTCGAATATTATTCACTTAAAAATCAACACGAAACATTTTTTTATTATTTAATATCGCATTAAATTAGGTAATTAAATTGGATCGATGGAATAAGGCAACGCAACACGTGGGCGATCTGCCAAGGAGGATGCCTCCTGAAAGAACTTTTATGAAAAATTGGCCCTTATACAGGTGTTAGACACGTGATAAACTCGGAAATTTCTATGTGACAGTATGTCGGATAGGTGCGAACCTACTACCAGTGTTCAGCGGTTTTATCCACTCGATAAATGTGTGATAAAGTATTGTTTTATGTTATATACAGTATCTTCTACAATTAAATTTATAATTTAACTGTATGAAAATGTGTAATAACTTATACTTTGCACTGTTAGAACACGTATCGACACCTATTTACTTGTATTTGAAGAGTTAATTAACTCGTTTGATTCTTCTTAAGGATCAAAACAATACATGTGCCAGACACATGATCAAATTCCCAAATTCGACTTCATCAAAACTGGAGGAGGAAAAAAAGGAAAGTCGTGATAATGATGTTAGTTTTTCTTTCCTATCGTTACTATGGTTAACTACTGGCAAAAATAATATAGAAATGGAGACGGAATTAGAAAACAACTGAAG